ATAACCTACTTCATTACTACCTGCATATGTATCTTGAGTAAAAGAAGATAACCATTCTTCTCTAGCAACATCAGCTGGTGGACGTAATCGATTAAATCTTAAAACTTGTTCTATAAAATAAAAAACATTATACTTCTGAAGTTTTATATACTATAAATATTTTCAATATCTTTTTTTATACTTACTAATATAATTTATATAAACTGGTACAATAATTATAAGTTCCAATGTAGTCAAAAGCACTATATAATTTAGTGGTGTGAACCATTCTGATGCACGACAATATTGTTCATAATTAACTTTATGTGTGTGATGCAAAAACACAGCTAATAATAAATAACATGTTATCCATAACGATGCTATGAAAAGAGGTGTTCTTATTTGTTGGTACGTTGATTGATAAAAATCAAGATATCCATAAATACGAAGCTTATGATGTTTTCTTTTTACTAAATGATCTGTTAACATTATTAACAACCAATATGCACAATGAAGATATAAATATATAAAATATGTATCACATTTATTATTTTCTTCAGGCCATACAGCTATAAATATAATTCCTGTAATTTCTAAAGATACCTAAAATTTCAAACATATAATATTTATTATTGTTATTATTATTTGTTTGTTTTATTAGAGAAATTAATACTTACACCAAATATAAGAGGGATAAATGTAATTAGAACAGTATCTAATTTATGGAAATGTTGTTCTTGAGAAGTTAATACAGGTTGAAGATATTCTTCGTCATCCATGTTATGAGATGAGTCAAAATATACAGCTCCCTACAATACAATTTTGAATTCACACATCTTTGCAACCATATAATACATTATACAATAAAAATTCATAGTACAATTATAATGTTATAATATAATAATATAAATATATATTTTAAACTATGAATAGTAGACTCACAAGAAAAGGTTATGTTTATGTTACATTGAGACTAATGAAAATAGAATACAATGAAATAATAATTTCATTGGAAATATTATTTCTGTTATACTCACACTACCTGATGTATTTAAATTTCTAATAAGACTGACCATTCCACCATAGAAAGATAAAATAAAACAAGAAAATTACACTTTTCACTATCAGAATTAAATTAACATTTTTCTTTGTGTTAATATATATAGAATATACTAATAATAAATAGCAAGAAGAGATATAATTTCAGAATTTTATCAGAATTTAATCTATATAATAACACACGATATAAATCATTTAGAGTCCACGTATCGTTTAATTTACGTATAACGGAACATAGCTGCAATACAATGTAAGCATAAGATCAAAATGTCTACTAAAGATAAAAATTATATGAACATCGTTCATAAAATCTGATTTAAATTTCATATAAATTAATTGAAAAAAATTATAATTTACATTGTGTAATATATTATTAACTTTGTTTTTAAATTATATTTATTAATGTGCGTTTAATTAATGAAAATTTATTTTGTTTTTATATATAAGAATAAAAATAGTTGATCATATGTATACAGTGTTTGATAAAAAAATATTTTAATAAAAGTTCGTAAAAATAAGACGATAGAAAACGTAATAGTCGCTAATAATTCAGAAATACCAAATTTCTGTATGGATGCTGACATTAATCAGAGGATGCTGAACAAATATACACAGGAAGCGTCGAACTTTATTTTAAAAACACAAAATAAATCTTTAAATATAGTATCATTTCAATAAATGTAGTATCATTTCATATAATCACGTCTTTGAATATAGAATGTTGATATCATTTTAAAAAGATCTTTATAATTCAAATAAACTTTAATTAAATATATAATTTTATTGATAATTAATAGAAATAAATCTTAGATCGATGTTTACAAATTTCACTTGCAATATAGAAAAAAAAAAAAGAAAAAAGAAAAAAATAAAACACAATATACGATGGAGAACACAACCTAAATGAACGATTATATTAATTTTGATCATAGTTAAAATTTGTCAAAATTTATTGTGAATTTATTTCTATAAAATTAACAAGTATGTTTGGACGACAAATTTTCTTAAAGCCTGTAGACAATCAACACGATGAAAGACGTAATGATTATATTCGACAATTATCCCCAAGTCAAGGACATGGAATACCATTTACTGAACTAATAAGCGTACCATATTTAAGAAATGATGGACTAATGCTCGATTTAAATTTCATTTTTATCGACGATGATCATGTTCAATCAAATAATCTAAATAATCTATATTTTCAAACGTTAGTTTTATATATACACATATATAACAAGAAATTTGATATACTAAATTAAATGAATTATTTATTCGAAAAAATATATAATAAATTATTAATCACATTTTAGTAACCGTGGAAATATATCTAATCGATATTTATTGGAATATATAAGACAAATGAAAGAAAGATATCTATTTATGGAAAGAGAATTAACAAGAGCAAGAATGTTAATCCCAGTAATATCGCGCAATACTAATGCCGTACATCAATCGGTATTTTAACCATCAATATTTTATTAATTGTATAATAATATTTTTTTTTCGTTCATTTAACTTTATTTTTCCAAAGGCACAAACAGACATAAATTGGAATGAATGTTCCCTCACGAAATATGGACATTTTCTTGGAACTTCCTCAAAAAATCAATACAAAAAGAATCCAGAGCAAATTAACGTTTCATCAAGAAGAAAACATTATACTATGAAAAGAAATAAAGAAAATTCAATCAGAAAAACTTTGACCGAATCAGATTGGATGAAACATAGGATTTCCTCACAAGTATTCGCCCAGAAAAGAATAACAGAATGTTGAATATTTCTTGAAATTGTTTAATTTTCTAATATATCTCTATTTTTTTTTTTTTTTTTTTTTAGAATTTACAGAATGATATTTATCCTATAAAAGAGCCTGATAGCAATACATTTCAACCAAGATCATTAACTAGCAATTCAACCACCGTTTGTTCAATGCATAATATAGCTGTGATTCTTCCACAAGATTCAATTCAATTAAATGATCTATCAAAACACAAACAAGCTGAATCTAAAGTAATTAAAATGATATCAAAATTAATATCATGATAACAAAATGTTTGATAATATAAGATATATATATATATGTGTATTTTTTAAAATATATTTGTAGATAAACGTTGATATCCACAAAGCTGTAGATAAATTAGATTCTGATGAATCTAAAATTTTTGGAAATTCGAAAAAATATTTCAATCCGTTTGAAACTCGGAAGGTAGGTTAAGATCATACGATCAAATTTTTTATCAATTTTTAATCATTATTAATAAAAAGATATTAATAAGACAATTTAATAACTTAATTTATTTTATTTTATAAATGATTCGAAATTATTATAATTATTAACGGCGAAAAGACGTCGATGGAAATATGCCAAAGCTTTGACAAGAAACACGAACCGGAAACGTCGAACTATACTGACTTCGATGTTAAACACGAAGATTGTACACAGACTAAACCCGCTGTAAATACACCAGAATTTCGACCAATAATGGGCTCAAAATTTAATAATGATATTTCCGATCAATCCACATCTCACTGCCAACAACAGAATATCAATTCTGAAGAAAAGTGTATGTTTAAAGGAATTGAATTTTTCGTAATTACGAATGTATAATATCGAAGAAATAATTTTGGTAATTTTTTTTTTTTTTTTTTTTTTTTGGTATTCGTGAAATATTTCTAGGTAATCGTAATTATTGGAACAATTACACGAAAAAATTACCTTATGGAAGAACACGTGCAAACGATTCATCGAGACAATTTACGCGAATTGTTCAAAAACAAAAGAAAGAAATGCATAAGAGAATTCCGACTCCACGTAGCAACGTTCATACCGCTTATACTCCTATGACACAACCTTCTACCTGGAATTCCATGTTAGATCCCAATGGCTTTACCATTCAATTATTAAGGTATATAATAATATAAAATAAATAAGATAATATAAAATAAATAAGTAATATAAAATAAATAAGAAAATAAGAAAGAGAAATTTTGATCATCTTCATGTTTCTTTTCACTTGACAGACTCGCAGTGTTACTTTACGCTCCAGCATTGATGCCGGCGTTAAATTCATTGATCGCACGACAAAGCATTCAAACAACAATTCCCCATTTTGAAGGTTCAAATGATTTGTTGACGCAAATTTTCACAATTTTGAACAATCAACAATGCGTCCCAAATTTATCATACGCACCAAATCCTAGGATGGACGAAAACTCTCGACAATTTCGAGAATCAAGTACCCATAATTCATCGGCGCAATCAAATTCCGAGGTATAATAATTCTATATTTTATATATAAAAAAAAAAAATTATTTATAAATAATGTATAAAATAATTATGAAAATTTTCTTGTTAGAATCTTACGAAACAATTTCAAAATGATACTCATAGAATAAAAACTTTCGATAATAACCAATTCGAAAAAAATTCAATCGCTGTTAACACTTCCTTAGAGATATGTAGTTGTAACACTATAAAACAATCGCCTTCGCAGTCGTACAATAAAAATATTTTACACAATCAAGAAGATGAAAAATTGGTTTATACATGGACTAGCAAAAAATCATCAAAATCATCGGAAACAGTAGTGTTAGAGAAACCAATATTGAAAAATGAACAAAATAAGGAGAAAGTATCGGAAAACCAACAAGAAAATTCTGAATTTTTCGAAAATTGGTTAATTCAAAAAGATCCTAATGTTTGGGACGATCCAAAATCCAAGTCTTCGAATATTTGGCAACAATATGTTAATCAATAATATTTAATTCTATGATAATACTGAATAAACACTTCGATCTAATAAATTACCATTGGAAAATATAATCACCGCTAATACGTAGTACGGCTTAAGGACGCTTGCGCGTGGTTCAAACACGTGGCAAAGGAAGGAACTTTTCTACGAACGTTTGTTCAGAATTGCAGTCTTACGAGCTTTCGCTGCCGAAGCGCATCCTACAATATATTCTCTTTCATATTCTATTTTGTAAAATAAAATTTTCTTATTTTTTGTTTGTGTATAATAAAACAAAAATTTATTGGATATTAAATTAAAAAATAAAAATTAATTGCAAAATCTATATTTACGTGTAATTGAAATTAAATTAATGGAAAATACAAAACATCAACGAAAGATCGGTTTCATTGCACGAGTGAACTTATTCGGTGGAATTTTTATTTTAAACTACTGTGAAATGTAAAAATTCGTATTTCTTCAAGATGACGATGATAATAAGGATAAAAAAAATAAGATCTTAATAAAGATAAAAATAGAAACGAGAATGATTAGAAAAGAAATTGGTAAACAATTACAAGCAATTCGATCAGAAATTTAATTTTCTAAAATTGGTTATAAAAAAAAAAAGTAACAATGAGTAAAGAGGAAAGTAGTGATGGTGGTCCTCAAGAAGCTGGTGGAGAAAATAAATCTCCGGGAAAGAATGAAAATGCGGATATTTTTGAAAATCGAGCTAGCAAGAAAATAATACGTTTATTCACCGTAATGGCTTACATGTTCTCTGTAAGTTTCGTAGCCATTGCCTTAAGTGCATATTATTTAATTCTTTGGAAACCTCCAGATCCAAGGCTTCTACGGAAACCGATTCAATTTTTATCTGAACCCGAAATGCAATTCTTATTAAGCGATCAAATAATTTTAGAAAACGAATCTGCGAAAGAATCTAACAACAAACATTCGCTTTCCGGTCGTACCGGCAAAAAAAATCTTTTCCATAATTACGATCACATGAAAACGCCCAATGAAAAATTGAATGAATCTTTGATCCTATTGAGAAACTCTTTGATTGAATCTTTACAAAATAGAATCAATGATTCGAATTCTTTTGCTCGAGATTCTCCTCGAGAAAAATGGACGACTTCTAATTTCTTTAATTACAGTTCGTTTGAAAAAGAAAATACGTCAAACTTGACGAGAAAATCAAGCGAAAAAGATGCAAGACATTCCTCTAAAATTATGAATCGTATATTTAGTAATAATGGTACATCCCAGACATTGGAATTTCCGACTATTCCTGGAGATGAAGCGAAACGCGATCATTTTACAACTGTTAGAAATTACTCCTTGTATCTTGAATCATCTCAAGATACTTTTCCATTGAACGATTTAACGAAAAAAACTGCTGAAAATCAAAAACAATACAAGAAAAATGTTCCATCTAATTTTAAAACAAGAATGGAAACATTTGATAAAAAAAAAGAAAAAGACAAAATGACTCGATATTTAAGAGATAATTCATTCGATGAAGGATTTGTAACGATAATGGATAAAAAAAATCGTGATATTCAAGAAAATAAAGAAAATCTTGAATATAATGTGAAACCTGCGATCAATTTGAATAGAGTAATTAGTACAGATACTTCCAATAATTTCGAATTTGCAAATCGTCTACAACACGAGCGATCACTAATGAAATTAGCAGATTTCGCGTTAAAATTCAAAGGTAAATCAATTTTTTATGTTTAATTTTTTAATTTTTTTTATTTAATTTTAAATATATAATATTGATAATAATTTTGTAATTTATTATATTTAAGTGAAAAATATCATTAATTTTACAAGCAATTCTTCAGCATGCTAACATACACTTGACATCTATATCTAGCCTATCTCGAAAAATATAATATTTCATTAAAAAGAATCAATTAAAACCTTAGAAAAAAAGTAATCGATGGATTGATCTATAATGATTATCCGTATTGCCCGCGTAATGACCAGAATAGGATCAGTCGATCTATTATGGCTTCTTCAATGCTATATCTTTTTAAAGATTATATTTTTGTTGAATAAATATATCATATAAATTTTTTTCAATTTAAATAATTTTATCTGAAAAATAATATATATATATATAAATTTAAAAAAAAATTATATTTATTTTTTTTGTGTATGCTTTTATTATTATTATTATTATTTTTTAAATATGTAAAACTTCTATTGAATAATAATCATTAATCGAAACTATATTTGTCAAGGAATGATCGAAGAATAATGCTATTAAAATAAAGGAGCGCCTCTTCTATAAAACGAGAACGTTGTCAAAGTCGCTTTACCTTCGAAACGAAAATCTTGTTTAAGCTTTAACTAAAGTTTATAGGCTCTGATATTAGCAATACCTATTCTTGATATTTGTAACCTTCGAATTATATCCATGAAATATGAATATAACGTATACAGGGTGTTAATATATTCGTGAAACATCTTTGGAGATATCGATTCTAAAAACAAATACAAAAATTAGTATATAAAAATGTAGACTATTAAATTATAAATTGAATTAATTGAAGTTTGCATTAAACAAAGCAAAACGAAAATAGAGTGAAACCATTCTGTCTTCATTACATTGTTATAGCATTTTATTCTTATCTTGCTTCATCTAATGCAAATTTAAATTACTTGTTTAATAAATAATTTAATAAATAAATCTCAATCGATATTTTTATATACCAAATTTTATTTGTTTTATCCTTTAGAATCGACCCATGAATATATTAACACCCTATATATGTATGCTTAAAAAAGTAATGCTTAAAAAAGTATTAATTGAGTTACAGTATTTAAACTTAAATAATTAAGTTAATAAACTTAAATAGTTAATAATTAAGTGAGTTACAGTACTTACATAAAATACTTGTGCAACATTTTTAGTCCTTTCTTTGTCATTTTTATGGAAGCATTTTCACTTGAAACTAAAATGATTTTTATCCAACTATATCTTATGAAAATTTTTTTTTTTTTGATTTATTACATTATGTATATATTTATTCTTGTGTTTGATATAATTTAAATAGAAAAATTTTTATCGATTTTACCAAACTTTATATTATTTTTTTTCAATTAAAACGTTAATTAAAATATATATAATTTAATAAAATAAAATTCTAATCAAAAACAATTAAAGAAAAATCAATATATGATATTATTAAATAGATATATTTATATTAGAAATATCTAATAAAGATTTCAATAAATGGCTATGCCTTCGAAATAAAATAATATTACTCAACGTATCGGTTTTAAGAACATTTTTCTCTCAACGAATCCCGTAAAGTTGAGCAACCCTTGAAGCTTGTAAAACGAAGCACAATGAGTCAAGATTCTTAGACTTGCGCAGTGAAAGCTCGTTGATATCATTGGACGAACATATTTAATAGTTATACTAGTAAATGTTGATTTGTTAGTCAAAAACGAAAATATTAATAAAACGATGGAAATGTCAACATAAGAAAATGGATAACGCATCCTTGAAATCTCATATTCTTTTTAATAAATTATCGTGAAGTTTAAATATTTTTTTGCCACTATCTATTTGCAACATCTATTATATTCGCTTGGGAACGCCCGACTGGTAAACAAAACTGATTTTTATTTTGGAAAATTCATAAATCTGTAAAAACAAAGTCATTGTATATTTTTAACATATAGATTATAAAAATAATTAGTGCAAAATTATTGAAAATACTCGATCATACATACGTAACCTGTCGAATGTAAAATTCTTCATAAGAGTGTATAATGTAAGAAATATAGTTTATATTTCTTATAAAGTGTAGCGCATTTTCATAAATTAAAAAAAATCAAAGAAGCTATAAATTTAAAAGATTTGAAGAAAATGTTTTTTTAGTTCAAAATCCCTTTTGAAATCTTTTTCTTCGAATCATTATAGTTACAATTATTATTTTTCTATGAATATTTAATAATACTCAATAAAACTGAAGTTATCAGAACTAAAATATAAATTTAATTTCAATTTAATAGTTCTGAAATTGTATATAAATTGAGAATGCAGTTACCGCGCAAAATGAGCGCCCAAAATGTAATGGCAAGTATTAGTCGTACATTAGGAAATCGAGAACATAAACCGACAGGTAATGAAATTCGATTTGCGGGAGATGAAAGGAAAGATAAACTTTACGAACCAAAACACAAACAAAAATTGGTACGAGTATTAACAGTAGTAGCCTATGTTATATTCGTTAGCATGGCAGCAATTTTGTTATCGTTATATTATACTTTCTTATGGGATCCTAAAGATGTTGTCAGAAAGAACATGAAACCAGAATGCCCCGATACAAAATTATCTGTCACTACTCCTTTTGTTATAAATGGTAAAAATAAATTTTAAAATCATTGAATTGTTGTGATCTCATTATTATTATTAAAAAACTAATTTGAACGTCATAAAACTAATGCTTTTTTCTTTTTCAGAAACGCAGGTAGAAAAAATGACAAAATCGATGACAATAGCGAATGAACAAATTTCTTCATCGGAAATTATGAGTACTCCTCAACAACAAAAAGATCTGTTAACTATTTTAACAGAAATTGCTGAAACGTCATCGACTACTACTCCGTTAACAATATCTGAAGATTTACAAACTAATTTAAGTACAGAAACCAAAGAAATATCTACAAAAGTACATTCTAATATTAATTAATTTGCTAGAATAATATTAAAAACTATTAACAAAAAAAAATAAATTTTATTATCAGAATCTTTGATTTTATTATGATATATATTTAATAATTTTGACTAAAATAATTTAAATTAGTTTTTAAATCTATATATTTTTTAACTTTCAGAGATGAAAACCGAATTATAATTATTTATTGAAATAATTTTGTTACTGAAAAATTGAATAATTGAATGATAAAATTTTAAAAATGAACAAAATCATTTTATATTTTTCCTTTAATTTATTTTTAAATTATATATTAGTAAAAAATTAAATAAAATAGTAGAAATTAAATAAAATATTTTTCATTATTAATAATATAAACTGCAATACAAAATTTTTATATATTTAATAACATCAAGAGTGATAATATACAATTGACATTAAAATAATTACATAAAGTTGTATAAAATATTTACAATATATTTTTGTTCCCTATTCACCAGTCATAATCATGTGAATAGATTTTTCTGAGCCAAGCATTTGATTGGCTCTTTGAGTACCCACAATTGCAGATAATTGCATAATATCATATTTACAATATAAAACAGTAACTGTCATATTACTTTCAGACCCTGAACGTGGATTTTGATTAGCTTCTTGCATTAAATTGCACATTTCTGTGTAAAATTGAGGAAAAATTGGTGGTGCATAAAATATAATATGTCTTATACCTTTTACTCTTATTCTCCGAAAAAAATGAAATCGTTCTGAATATAGAAGGAAATGTGCATCACTGTGAAAAAACATATCTCTTGCTCTTGCTACTTTTGCATCTTTGGAATATTCACAAATTTGTACAAAACTATATTCTTCTTTTTTGAAATAATTACGTAATTTTACAAAATCAAAGTAAGATGGTATAAAAATCAGTGAATGATTCATAATTCTATCTTTATACTGAGGAAGTATTTTTGTTATAAAGAATTCCATTCTATATTCTAAGGCATGAGAATGACTTAAAGTTTCAAATTTGTGAAATACTTGTGGAATCTGCATAGCTATTTGACAAATAGATCCAGAAGAAATAGAATTTATTACTTTTATTTTTCCTGCATAATTGTAACATTTCTTATTAAATATTCCATAAATTTCAGGTACATGAATACTTGAAAATATTAATGTCTGTCTATAGTATTTAGTCCATCCATTTACACACCAACTTCTTACTCTAGAAAAATCTGTCCCATGAGAATCCTTAGGTTGTAAATGTAAATGATTTAATATATGTATCATGTGATCCCAATTTTGCATTAAAAATAATTCTGCTTGATCAAGAATTAATAATTCTATTGATGCCAAGAAATCATAATCTCTATCTGCTTCACCTTCTGCACCTATTAATATTCTTAAACCTAATAGAGATGAAATTATTATATCAGAAGAATAAAATTCTGAATATAATTTTAAGGTTTTTCTTGTAATAGCAATTCCTATTTTGAACGTATCATCTGTATTCCCTTGAAATGTCAATTCATAATCTTCAGGTTTTGGATTTCTTTTTGGCATTATTAATTTATCACCACTAAAATCTTCCATAAATCTCTTCTTATTCATTACAGAACCACCTTCGTCTTCTCCAATTAAAATAGAAATTAATAATTCAACAATTTTTAAACATGAATGTCTAAAAGGAACTATTATTAAAACTTTTGGTCTCACCAAACCCTGATCTCTATATTCATCTGGAATTTCTGCTATGTTTGTAGATTTTGATTTTATTTTTGCATTATGATGCAATACTTTTGTACGTGTTTTTAACACATGATTGATTGTATGCAAACAATACACAAATCTTATTTGATCAGCATTAGAAAATGTTCTTTCAGGATAATATAAATCTTGATAATTATTTATTATTGAAAATAGTTCCTTTTGCAAAGGAGTCATAACAGATGAATTTATATTATCTTTTATATTTAAATAATTTGCTTTTGTGAGATTACCATGAATTTGAGATTTTATATATAATTTATTCCACTCTATATTATCAATTAATTGAGGGATAGTACCACATTTAGCAAATTGTTTATGTTCTAAAACAGAAATATTAGATTTTTTTGTATCTTTTGAATCTTCAAAAGATTTTAATATTTCACATATAAGATTGCCTAAAACAGGCCAAGTTATCTTTTGTGTTTCCATAATTTGTGGAATACTAGAAACTGCTTCATAAAGTTTATCACTTAAATCATCATGAAGATGAATTGAAAATGGATCTTTTAAATAACCAGCATCTTCTTGAGCTGTTTCTGGATCTTCTTCATCAACCTCTTTTATTTTAATATCTTCATTATCACTTGTTAAATCTACATTCTCATTTATATTATCGAATTGCATTGTTAAATTATTGGTTTCTTTATCATTCTTACCAATATCATCATTATCAGTACATATATCACTTTCTGAATTAGAATCAATAGCAGTCACTTGTAAATTAGTAGTATTTGAAAATGAGGATAATAAATTTTGTAATGGATTTTCTTGTTCATCACCAGAACTATTACTTTCTATTTCCGATTGTTGTTTCAGTTTTTCTTCTTCTAATATTTGTCTACGTTTTTCAATTTCCCTATTTTTAATATCGCGATCTTTGATATATGTTGCATCTTTTAAGTTAAATTTATTTTTTTTTGGCTTCGGTCGATCATTATAACGATGAAATTTTCTTTTTCCACGAAATGATTTTTTACCATGTGCCATTCTTATTTTTTTTTAAGTAATGAAGTAAAATTCACTTACGTATGCTTTAAATGCATGAATATTTTTGTTTAATATGCGAATATATATTACATAATTACATATATAAATTATACATATTTAAATTAAATTAATATATTTTAATTTATAACAAAATAATTTAGTCTCATAAACACACACTTTGAGTATATATAACACATTCCTGAAGTTCTTCACTTACATTTAGTAACATTATAACCGCTGAATTCAAATAACATAGATACATTATTATTTATTCAATAATTTTTTAAAAAATCACCATGACAGAAAGATATTTTAATAAAAAATATTATAATAGATATAATAGATATTATAATAGATATTAGAAACTAGATTATAATAAATTATAAAATAAAAATATATAATAATTTTAATTGTATATAAATTATACATATTTAAATTAAATTAATATATTTATTAATATTATATATATAATATTATATATAATAATAATATATATATATATATATACTTTAATTTATAACAAAATAATTTAGTCTCGCAAGCTTTGAGTGTATACATATTCCTGAAGTTTTTCACTTTCATTTAGAAACCGCTGAATTCAAATAACACAGATACACTATTAGTATCATTTATTCAATGATTTTTTAAAAAATCATCATAACAGAAAAAAATATTATAATAGATATTAGATTATAGATATTAGATAATAGATAGGTATAGATAATAGATAGATATTAAATATTAGATTAGATAGTAAATACTAGATAGTACTAGATTATAATAAATTATAAAATAAATATATATAAAAATTTCAAAATAATATGTATATCTTCAAATAAATAAAAAATAAAATATGTTTTTCGATTCTATTTTCAAATTTCATACGATTAATGTATGTATATATATATATATATTAACAACATAACATTCGAAAATGGAATAATTAAAAATATTAATTAATTAATAATAATTATTTATTTTTTATTTTGATTTAATAATTTAATTTTCATAAATATGTATTATATTTAAATTAATGTCTTCATAATTAATTACTGAGATAATTAAATAAATAATAATTATCAGTTTTTGTTAAATAATGTATTATCTATATGTATCTATTGATATATTCTCAAATATTTATAAATACATAGTATAATGTCACATACTGTTATATATATTGTAAGAAATTATCACTAGAAAAAACTAAGAGAAACTTTCAAAGCGAATTTTCTATATATAGATCACGTGACTAATGATTTTAATAGATAAATTATCGTTGATTATCGTGAATTTTTTAATTCTTATTTTTCATATTTATTTCATGAGTATTCTAAAAAATCATTGCGTGATAAATAAAAAAAATAATTATTATATGCGTTTTTAAAACTTACAATAATATATTTTAATAATTATATCAAAACAAATATATTCTTTTTATTACCTTTGCGATTCATGATTAATCCATAATTTATTAAATAAAATAAGATTGAATTTACTATTACAATTGAATATGTGCTTTTGATAAGATAGAATGATGAAGAAATGCAGGAAGAAGAAAAAAGTGAGCAAAATTAATTAACCCTTTGCTTAGTTGTTTACAAAATATCCGGTTCCTGACAAGCTGTCGGAGCAAATGAATTCAGGCGAGTAGGCGATGTTGCGCGCGCAATAATAACACGGCGCCGACAGTGCCGTGCATTCTTCAATTTTACTTAATTTCTACACTATTATATTATTAAATTATAAAAATTATATGTATTATTATAATGTATTTAAACTAATTACATATTTTTAGAATATATATATATTTAATTGTATCTAATTATATTAGATATTATGTTATATTAATCATTTATAAATCTTTATACAAATTTTTATTTTTATATCATTAAAAATGTATTGAAAATATTAGATTAATTATATATTATTAATATTTCTAAAAGGTATTAGATTAAAATATATCTTTTTTCATTAATTATACTTTTAAAAATATTAATGTTTAAAACAATAAATATTTTTAATTTTCGTATTAAATTATTTATTTAATATGCATATATACGAATTCAATTTTACATTATACTTGTTATCATATGAATATAAAACGAACATCAGTATGGTGGGAGACAGAATTACCCTATACGAGGTTGAGAGTATGAGCTGCGGGTCGTAAATGCACGACGAGCAGTTTCGATATAGAACTTGGGGCGCCTTTAACAGCGGTTGTATGAAGAACCGGTAAGCTGTGATTATTTGGGAATTTTTCAATACAAGAAACTGCCCAATTGATATTTGATAGTTTTTAAAAGCTTTTGGACAAGGAATTATCAACAGACGTATAGAAAGACAGAAACCAACGCAGATTTTTTCGTATCTGATGAGCTCCTCCGTCGCACCGCTGGTGGTAAGATGGCTGTGCAGTTGGATGGAGGAGGGAAGGAGGACTTGAAAACACAGTTTGTCACGCGGGAAGGAACTTATAAGCTAATGACTTTGTCGGAGTATTCAAGGCCAAATAGGGTCGGTTACACGAATAGTCAAGGAAGCGCATCCGTTAGAGTGTCTTTTGTAACTTTACCGGATCCAGCGGATCCTACGGGTACGCAAGGACTTGGTGATCGAATGTGTTTCAACTTTGGCAAAGAGCTTTATATTTATGTCTATCGAGGAGTTAAAAAGGTAATTCAGACTCTTCTCTTAACTAATGTGTTTGTTGTTATATTTATATTTAATTAAGCATGGATTCATCGAAACCTAACCTCGAAAATGCATACTAAGACTCCATCTTTGCATCATCACCACACCTAACATAGAAAATTTTCTTTGCATATAAAATTATATTTATCAAATTTATTTTTAATTTAATGATTACTCTAAACTTAAATACATTAATTATTTTATTTATAATAAAAACTTTTTTACTTGATTTAAAGTATAATATACAAATGTTATTTAATTCTCAGTTATGAAATATTTTTATTAGTATAAATAATTTTATGTTTTAATACTCAATATTTTTATTGATATAATATATAATATATATTAATTAATAAATATAATATTAATATAATTAAAAAATTAATAATTAATGTAAATATTTGTTGTAAATATATATATATATTTTTTAAATATTTATTTTAATAAAATTTTATATTTTATATTTAACAATTAATTGTATATAAAAAATGTTTTATTATTTTAAAAAATAAATAAATTTAATTAATTACAAAAAAAATATTTTTATATTATCTTAATTTTAAAATTAATTTTATATAAAAATGTTTCAGGCTGTGGACTTAAATAAACCAGTGGATAAAAAATTATATAAAGGAACTAATCCAACTTGCCATAATTTTAATCAAACAACAGCAACTGCAGACAGTGCACCATTATTAGTTGGTTTCTCTACAGGACAAATTCAATTGATAGATCCAATAAAAAAAGAACTTAGCAAATTATATAATGAAGATGTAGGTAACTTATGATATGTTAAAAATAACAAATTATATCAAAATGATATATATTTTACTCTAAAATTTTTGATTATGTAAGGAGATTATATATTCTTAATATAATCCTTAGATTAAAAATATATAAAATATATTTATATAATATATAAAATAAATTATAAATTATAAAATATATATATATAAATATTATAAAATATATTTATAAATATATAAAAATATATTTATTAAATATAAATTGATAAGTTATATAATTTTATATATTGCTATTATTGTAAACATTATCATAAAAAGATATTTTCAGATATTACTAGCTACAATTTTATTAAATCTCTATGATATGAATTTGTTATTTTTTTAAATATGATATATAAAAATGTTAGTTATTATAAAAATTTAACTTTTACTTCATAATATATGTATTTCATAGTTGATATTTTAATTAATATTTTAAATTATTCTATGTAATATTTAATTTTACTAAATTTTACTTAGATTTTATATGATTTAATTAAATAATGTTAATTAAAATAAATAATTAAATAATGTAATTAATTTATAATTATTTTAAGTTATATTGATTAATGATAGTTAAAATATAATATAATGTAATAATCTGCTTTCTAGAATTTAATTATTTTTTAAAATTAAATTTATTATTTCTTTAATATTTCTTCTTAATAAATTGAATGTTCTTTTTAATGTTTCAGAGATTAATAGACAAAAGCAAAGTAACATGTATAAAATGGGTTCCTGGATCAAATAATCTGTTCTTAGTATCACATAGTTCTGGACAACTATATTTATATAATGAAGAACTTTTATGTGGTACAACAGCTCCTCATTATCAATCTTTTAAATCAGGAGATGGTTATGCCATATATACTTGTAAAACAAAATCCACAAGAAACCCTTTGTATAGATGGGTAATAGGTGCAGAAGGATGTTGTATAAATGAATTTGCCTTTAGCCCATGTGGTTCAAACTTAGCAGTTGTTTCCCAAGATGGATTCCTACGAGTATTTCAATATAATACAATGGAGTTAGTGGGTTCAGCTAGAAGTTATTTTGGTGGATTTTTGTGTGTATGTTGGTCTCCAGATGGAAGATATGTTGTTGTGGGTGGTGAAGATGATCTTGTGACAATTTGGAGTTTTCATGAAAAAAGAGTGGTAGCTCGAGGTCAAGGCCATCATAGTTGGGTAAGCGTAGTAGCTTTTGATCCTTATACTACATCTTATGGAGATCATGATCCAGACTTCAGTGGTTCAGATGATGAAACATTACCACATAATAATCATAATCACTATCATGAGAAGTCTAATCGTTTATCTACAACTTCACAAGGAATTCATTCAAACAGAAACTCTTGTGGTTCAGAATTAAGAGTGTCAGGTGGTACATGCTACAGGTTAGGTAGTGTGTCACAAGATACTCAGTTGTGTTTGTGGGATATTACAGAAGATGTGTTGAGACAACCAATGTGTGCAAAGCAAAGGCCATCTGCAGCAGGTTCTAGCATTCTTCCTACATCTGCAACAATCAACAGTGGGAATGGTTCAACACAAAATCACCACTTGAACAATTCTAAACATAATAATTTGAATAATGTTAATTGCAAAGAAAACGCGAGTGGTAATAATGAAAATAGTAATAATAGCATGAGTACAAATACAGCAGTGTCAACTGTAAATTCTTTGACACAAAGGTTAGCAGGGCTTGGCTTTGGTGAGCGTAAAGGTGATAATCATAAAAGGAACTTTAGCCTCACTATGAGAGGTAGTGGTGCATCTAATAGCACAATAATGCAAAACAGTGGTAGTGATAAAACTACCACTAACTCAAATACAAATAGTAATTTGAACAGTGTCAGTGGAAATTTAGTAGGTCCAAATAAGAAGGTTAGTTCTGTGATGGACGATCCTATGAGGTTGATAGGAACTGCCTGGTGCCCTAGGTTTGATGAGTGCCCAGTGCTAGAACCACTGGTGTGCAAGAAGTTGGCACATGAAAGATTGACTGAATTAGTGTTTAGGGAAGATTGCTTTGTAACAGCGTGTCAAGATGGATATGTCTACACATGGGCAAGGCCTGGTCACATGGTAGGTCCTCTCACCATCAGCAGCACTCTGCACAGGCCACATCATCATAGCAATCCTTACACCAACATTAATTCCTTGCGACCTAACGATCTATGATGTAACCCATCTTCAATTGTTATTAGAATTTTGTGAAGTAGGATTTTTTTAGTAAAGAATTCTAATTTGTATATAAATAGAAATAAAATTTAAAATCATTATCATTATTCAATGAATGAAATAGGCAATACAATAATGTTTTGGACAATTCCTATTGTCTTTGTTAAATTATATTAGGAAATGAAAAATGTTCTTTTAGATACATAACTATTAAATGTGAAAAATATAAGAGGGTGATTTTGTTATTGTTCATTTTTATTAACAAATGTAATGAATATTGTTCTTGCGGCATCATGTCATAATATAAATGGTAACTTTTTAAATTTTAATTTGAGAATAAATGTATATTCTTTCTTATATTTACAAAAAAAACCTTAGTTTACATTTTATCCAAAGCAATATACATTATATTAAAAGGTGCCATTGGAATACAGATTGATATATAATACATTAAAGATTTAGCAATATCTTTTAGTCCATATTATATACCAATTACAGAAATGTATGGACGGATGATACTATGAATGGAAAAACTTAATATTATAATCTATATTTCTCTATTATATAAATTATGAAATATTTCATATTTAACTTTTATATATTTTGTAATTTAAATTTTTTGAAAAAAGAAATGAATTTGTAAGATTTTTTCAAAATTTAATTATGTAAAATTTTAGTATTTTTTTGATTGATATATAAGAAAATGAATATAATTAAAATATAAGACATTCATAGTATAAATCTCCATTTATATTTGTGCCTAATGATCATCTGGTCAAAATATATTCAATATAAATATTAAACGAGTACATTAGTATGATTATAAATAGAATATATTTATATTTGGTTTGCATCATTGAGAGTAATATTGTTTGCGCTCCATAAGATTTTGTAACAGGGCAGGCCCCTTAAATCCTTTTTTTCTTTCCTGTAAAGTGTTAGCTTAGCTTAGTAAATGATAGAAAGTCAATGAGTTATTTAGTGAAACTATTGTCCTGGATTATAATGATGTGACATTTAATCCTTTGTTGAAAACAATGAATTGCCTTGTTGTACAATAAAGCAAAACTTTGAATGAAATATTGCTGCTTGCTTCCTGCTTGAATTTTATATAAAATGCAATGCAAGCTCCAGAAAAAAAATTAAATTGTCATATGTATATACATATACATATATTTACATAAATTTTAAAATTTATTAAAATTTCAGTTAATATTATCAGGTATGATTATATAATTATTTTTGTAAAAAAATATGTTATTTTAAAATATTATATGTTAATTTAAAGTATCTGATTCACTTTCCTGGCGTTTTGCATAAAGCATTTCTATTATTAAATTACCCTATGTTCCTTTATGTTATAGTGGTTTAACTAGTTAAAATTTTTGTGATAATTTTCATATAGTATGCATTGCTTCTTTTATAGTGACAGTCTTATAATTTTATCAGAAGATGCTTGTGCTTGTTTCTTAAGCCGGTGGGACATTAATTTTTTACTTTTATTGGAAAGATTAATGTTCTGTACCATGCTTTGGCTGATGCAAGAGAATCATGGATGAATCTTCCCAGAAATTATCGCATGGTACGTATACATATGTGTATATAATAATTTAATGTTTTCTTGACTTGTTCATTGCTTCATTGAACAAAATGATAAAGTATGTTTTTTTATATGCTCGTTCTAGTATTGATTATATTTTTATATTGCTATTATTGCACAATTCTTTAATGCACTTATAGAAATCATATTTATGTTTTAAATGCTTTCAATTATTTATAGAATTTTTTTAAAGATAAAATTATTTTTGGTAGTGAATTTTTATGCATTTTTTAATTACAGCCTGGAATAGGACAGGTTGGAAATGCTCTTCACGTTGTCAGTCCTGCAGAAAGTGGAGGTACTATAGTATAGCCAGAACCAGATATTAATACATTTTCAAAGCACGAAGAAGAATACATCCCATTAATGCGTGCATTACAATCTTCAAAAATGCAGTTTCAACCATATACCCATTATCGACATCTATATTACGTATGGCCAAGTGAAAATTATTCCAGTATTGTTTAAAAAAATAGATAATTCCAAAGCATCTAAAAATTGATTGCTTAAATTTTTTTTTTAATACCAATTGCCTTTCCTTTCCGATTTTTTTTTAACACAATAAAGATGTTCAAATTTCATAATATTATACAAATTTTATAAGAGAATTCAGCGAAAGTAATAAGTAAATTGTGTGTACATGTATATATGTATACATATGTATGTTGCTCTTATACACTGTACTAAATCATTCCAATAAGATCCTCTTAGAAAAATAAATTTAAATTGAATGGTGTTAATACTAAATGCTTATGTATATATATATATTATATATATACATATTATTAAAAATTTTTATATTATCAACATTTAATTTAATTATTTAAAAACATGATTTGAAATAGTTTGCTTCTTATGGAAGACAGATTAACAAGCAGTGCAATTATTGTAATCAGTCAGAGAAATATGTAAATATAAAATATTTTAAGTATTATTTTAATTTGTTATTAAAAATTATTGTTTTTATTTCGAATTATATTATATTCGAAAAAAAATGAATTAGATAGTATATAATACAAAGAGAATTTATATTATATTATTTTTTAAAATTTAATTACAACAAATATTATTTTTTTACATTGTTAATTTTAAAAAATATTTACTGAAAATATGCTACAATATTTCTTCCTCAATGTTTCTATTTCACTTCTTGTTAACGCAATTTAGAAATATAGCCGAATTATTGCTAACTAAATTGCCTTAATAAAATTATAAATTAAATAAAAGAATTTTTTATTTGTTCTAAAATATGAATTTGTTCCCGAGAAACTTGTTCGCTTTATTGGAAATTTATAGTGCATCATTGATGTACAATTAGTTAAAAATTATTAAATAATGTAAAAGACGACTTTATATCTGAGAGCTACAAAGCATTAATAATAAATAATTAATTAAAAACTATAGAATATACTTGTATATTATGCTATAATAATATTATTTTAAATTTCTATTTTATTATCCCTCCATATGAAAAATTTTTATGAAAAGTTTATTGTAAGATAAGTATTTCTGAATTTAGTTTATAAAATTCTATGCATTTCTATCTATTGCAAAATAATAATAAATCATTTTTACAACGAATAAATAGATATTTTTATATAGTTCTCAGATACAAAAGTCTATCTACAATAAATAAATATAAACTTATTAATTAGTTAATAAATAATACTTCTAATAATAAACAGTATTTCATATTGCCTATTCTACATGGCGCTATTATTTATTACTTTATAAAAATAAATAATTAAAAAAATTATTTAATATATTATATATATTAAAATCAGAATGTAAAAACAATTTGTATTGTTGTAATTTTTAAACAGTTTGAAAATGATAATACATTTTTTGATTCCTTATATGGGCATTTTTTAAAAAATATTCATTATTTAACGATAAAATATAATATAAACTAGAATCGTATAATAACTATAGAATTTTAAAACTTGTTTATTTATTATTATAAAACTGATCAATACCTATATGATTTTGTAAGCTAGTGTTTCTTAGACAATAATATCAATCATAGTATATATTCATATAAGTATTTTATGAGGACATATGATAAATTTAATTTATCATATGATATAATATTTATCATATAATAAAATAGTTTCAATCATTAAGAAACACTGGTCTTATTGTTATTATTAATATATATATATAATACTTTTTTAATTCTTTCATAAAAGGATTAAAAATATTTCAAAGAATATTTTTATGTACATATATTCGTATTTTACATTGTATTGATTATAATTAATAGATAATTGAATTATAATATACATAGGTATATGCATATTGTGTATATGGTAATGAATTCTGTTTTTATATAGATAAAAATAATTAACAAACAAAAATAATTTTATTTTGAAAAATATGTTTTAATATTTATATAAAAGAAAATAATAATAACTTTCTTAACTTTAAATTACTTTAAATTAATAAATCTCAAAATTTTACAATAACATACATTATAACATAATATACAATTTTACAATAATACAGCATTATAGTTTTAATTAATAATATTTGAAATAAAAATCGTCGACAAGTTTTAATTGCGTTAATTAGAATTTGAAAGTTTTGTCATGTTCGATATTTACTTTTTAAAGAAAAAAATAAATATAATATCGCTTTTTTTCATTTGAACTCCCTGTGATACGTGCGTATGTTGATATAATTATTTAATTGTGAATAATGAAAGTAAGAATTATGCTAATGCCATGAATCATGTAAAATAAATAATTAATTTTAAAATTATATTTGTTAATTGAAAATTTCTTATATCAATATGCATTATTAAGCCAAAAACAATTGAAATTTGGTCTAGTAAATGCCAAATGATATTTGATTTATTCAATTCGAAATCTACAGAGTGTTTATCATAATTGTCGTCAAGATTGCTAATCTTATGAAAAAATATTTGATTCAAAAACGTAACATGAACTATAATTTTATAAAATCAAAAATACATATGGTGCTACCTAAAAAAAATCAAGATTTTCTTGATTTTTTTTTGAATAAACATTTTTTTAGAACTCTGTTTTTATATAGACTCTTTATTATTGCAATTTTTTGCAAATTGATTTATTTTTGTTCGAAATATTTTCTCATAAGATTAATACAAAAAATACGGCTAATACGGCCTAAAAAACCATAATGACATTAAAATAAACATTTTGTATAATGTTCCTATATTATAAGTAAAATAAGAAATTCATAATAAATAACATATATATTTCATTTTTGATTAGTATTGATCAAAAATAGAATTGAATTTATTGATTAATTAATCAATCTTATTGTAATATAATAATTTCGTTTAATAATATATATATATATATATTTTAGTAAACGAATATATATATATATATTTATATTTTAGTTTTTTCTATTGTAACATAAAATTTTCATTTGTTGAAATACTAATTAATATTATTCAATGTTTTTCGTTGCATAAAGCGAACAAGATTTCTTTATATCTGCAAAAAATTTGCAATTGCAATTTTATATTATTATTAATACAATAATAATACAACGGTGCGAAGAAATATTTAAATTGATTAACTAATCTGGCTGATTACATCTCTACAGATGCACTTAAAAATAATCAATTTCCTATTTGTTGACTTTTTTTATGAAATATTTTCACATATAAATTTACAATATTTCTAATTTTTTTCGCATTTTACTTGATTTATTTATAAAAATGTATATTCTTTGTAATTATAAATGAAAAAAATTTAATTGTTATTATTCTCGTGTATTTTTCTTTTCTCAGTTACCCAAAATTATATAATTATTTTCAAAAAAATAATATATATATTTAAATTACAGATAATTAAATTTTTTCATAATGTTACATGCTTAGCTAACTATGATGATGTTCGATTTGTTTTTTGTCTTTAATTTTTTTTTAACATACGTGTAACGTACCTTTAATATTGCAACAAAATTGTATTTTGTAACTGATTTTCCACTATGAAAAATATTTTATATGATATATTTGGATAATTTTCTAAACATTTAATAAATCAGAGAAATGAAAAAGTTACAAATACTTCGTGTAGATAATGACTTAGTGCAAAAAGTGGATTTACAAATAGGTAACAACATTATTAGTCGAAAAGTAGTAACTGCAGTAAGTATTTAATTATATCTAAAAAAATATATATATAAAAGATAATTAATATTAAATTTTCTTAACCATCAAATATTTTTAAAATATAACGACATGTTTATATATTTTGACGCATGCGTTTGAAAAGTGTGCTTCATCATGTGAAAGTTTTTTTTTGTTTATTTATTATGCTTAAATTAAAGATGTTGCATTTCAAAAATTGTGAAATTTTATATATAATTTGTATAACTTAAATTTTAGTGTGATAATGATCAAGTTATAAAACATGCTGCAATAATAAATGTAATATCTAATAATGAAATGACAATAACACCGGTAAGAAAAATTTTTATTTTTATTATACAATAATAACCTCATATAGAATATTATTTAGTGACGTTCTATAGGAATATTATTTTCTAGTATCAGGTTTCACCATGTTACATGAAATCTACTGAATCGTCGCGATGGCAACTTCTTAAACTAGGTGTTACAGTTCCGATAAAACCTGGAGATGTGTGTACTTTAGTACCGGAAAAATGTTGGTTTAAAATTATATTAGTATCTGACAAAATGGAAAATAATGAAGACTATACATTAAAACGAAAAGTACGAAATCAGTGTATTAAATGATTACTATAATTTATTTTCCAATATTTTTTAATAATTATAGGCTAATGAAGATATAGATTCAGACACTGTACATGATAAAAGGCTTTGTTCTGAATCAGGAGAAGGTGACAATTTACAGTATAATGTATTGAACAAAATGTTAAATAAGAATAATGATATAACTAAAGTAAAAGTTGAAGAAAATATTATCAATGAAAATAATGTATCATATGATGAAAATGAAAATAAAACACAAAACTCAAATTCTACATTAAAATATGAATGTCAAAACATAGATCATTCATCTACAACAGAAGATGTTTCCAAAATTCAAAATGCAAATAAATCAAATGATAAACCTGCAAACGAAAAAAATTTAAGTTTTAAGAATTCACATTTGGCTTCCATAAGTGTAAATAATGAAAAAGTTACTACAAAAAATATACAATCTCCTGTTTCAAAAGGAGAACATGAATCCAAGATATCTACTAATGTAACAGTTTGTAATGTTTTTAGAAGAAACAAATGCAAATATGGAAAGGAATGTTACAGGTAATTTTATACAAAGTTTTCTGTTTATTTCCTTATTTGATATACTAATATAACCAAAAAAACCTTTGTACATATTTCTAACAAAATTGCATATTTTATAACAATTAGCACTATCTCCTGTTACCAAATTATTAATGCATTGATGCATTATTTTATATATATATTTATATATATATATATATTTTTTATATATATTATTTTATATATATATTTTTTTAATTTAAAATATTCGATGAAAAAATTTGTTGATAGGAAAAATTTACAACATAGAGATAAATTTAGTCATCCTGATGATCCTGATTATGATATTCCTGATAATAGAAAAAAGTGTCCTTATGGTACTCAATGTTATCGTAAGAATCCTCAGCATAAAATACAGTTCAAACATACTGACAAAGATATTGCAAATAAACATAATAAACAAAACTATAAACAAACTCAGAAACAATCTTTGGATATCTTAAGTGGTATAGAAGATTCATCTGCAGAAGAATCTGCTGAAGAATCTGTTGATGAATCTGAATATGAACCTAGTGATATTGAAAGTTCAGATGATGATGAAATATACTCTGACAAAAATGAAAGTGAACAAGAAAATATATATATGTCCAGTTGATTAAGAGATAGATATTTTTTTATTATAATATGTTTGGATATTTTTAAATTTATCTATGTAATTTTACATAAAGTATGTTGTACATGTGAAACATTATATAACACATATTTTACATAACTACATAAATATATGTGGTAGTGTAAGAAAGATGAAAGAATATAGAAATATTTTATTTTTACAATATTATAATTGATAAGTAAGTATAATCATATAAGAATTAGTTTATTTTTTTATGACTGAAATGTACAAAAACAATGATAAATAAATACTTCAAAAATAGTTACAAAATTTAATAAACCTGATATCCTTCATCACTTTCTATATATTCTTCAGTAGCTACATCTACAAGTATGTGTTTTGGTATTTCTGAACCTCTTATTTTAATTGTATAACAAACATTCTCCATTTTATGAAGGCTTTGTTTAAGAGTACAAAGTTTTCTGTTTATTTCCTTATTTGATATACTAATACAACCAAGAAAACCTTTGTACATATTTCTAACAAAATTGCATGTTTCATAACAACTAGCACTATCTCCTGTTGCCAAATTATTAATGCATTGACGCATTAGCTCTCCAGTCAAATCAGAAATACCTAAGATATATTCAAATGGAGTAATTAAAATCTGTATAGATTTAGATTTTTCAGAACTTGTATAAGTAAGTGCTTTTCCTAATTCTAACCAACTTTTCATGTTACCACTACTTAAGTACTGATAAAATGTAACAGCTTCTATATATTCTTCTAAACCATTACGATAAGCTTTTAAATAAAGATATGGATCTTGATTTTCTAATTCTCGTGAAATAGCTTTGAAATGATTTTGTGCAACATTTTGTAGTCTTAAATCAGCTTCACATAACACACTTTCTTGTTTGCTTTTTTTATCTATAGTGTGCAAAAGAAAAATAATTCTTTTACTTTCTATAGTAATATCTCTTCCAGTTTTTACAATTCTCTCAAAACGATCATGTTTATCATCTAATTCACTTGCATATGCTCGAAATTGTTGTAAAACAAAACTGTTTTCATTTGTACTTTCCACAATTTCTTTTTTCTTGTCACCACAGTTAATTTTCTTATTAAAATGATATCCACGATTTTTTTCGCCAGCTTTTATCCAATCATAAAATAAGAAAGTCAAATTTTTAATAATTATATTTTTTTTAAATAAATATAATTGTTTATTATCGATTTATATATGTTTATTTTAATAAGTCAATAAGCGTTGTATATAAAAGTATATAAATTATATTAAATTATATTAAAAACAGAAAAGACTTGTGAGAAATTTGTAATAAAGAAAAATGATATAAAATATATTTAAAAAATATTTAAGTCATATTTAAAATATTTTGTAATTAATATACCTTTGACTTGTGACATAGTGATTATTTTCTACTATTAAGACGTTAATAAATTATAATATATAACATTTGTCAACAACTGACTTATATATAACATAAATGAGATAGAAAACAATTCTAATAATAGATTTTCTTAGTCCAGAGCCCTCTTACTATGTTAAAGTCATTCTCAATATTACCGATTCAACATAAAATACAATATTTGTGATAATTAATTTTGATATTAAACTTTAATGTAAAATCATAAATAAAATAAATAAAATAAATGATAAAAATCCGATATTGTAAAGATTTAGTTAAAATATTGATAAAAAATAATAAATGAGAAGTATTCATAAGAATAGAATTCAAAAAAAGATTGAAAATTTTACAAATGTTTATATTAAAATAGTATAAATTTGTATTTTAACAAAAAAAAATTTATAAATGATTATAAAATTAATGATAAAATTAATGATAAATAGAATTTAAACTTATAATAAAATTTCAAAAAATTTAAAAATTATTATATTATATTATATTATATTTTATATTATTTATATTATATTTTAATAATTTGAAATAATAGAAATTTTGTCTTAATTTAAAGACATTTTACATTTCTTAATTTAAAACAAATTAAAAATGTTATTTCATATCGTAATTATTTTTAATTGATTATTACTAATGATTCAAAATTATATTTGAAAAATTATTTTTAATATCATTAAAGAAATCATATTTTTTCTCTGAATTTTGTAATGATTATCACGATTTTTTACATAAAATAAATGAAGATATATATTTTATTTTATTTTAAATAAAATAAAATAAATAACAAAGAGAGATAGATCATTTCTTAAAGCCTTTCTTTCTAAATCTTCATAATTACGTTAATAAATATATAATATATAAATTCGAAAATTTTATTAACTTTAATGTGTAAAATGAATTGTAATTATTGATTCTTATAATATTAAAAAAAATTTCTAAGTTGAAATTAAATGTTGTTATAATTAATGTAATAATTGTTCTATTTCTATAAAAATTTTATTTATTCATTATATTTATTTATTTATTTATTATTAATAAATATTTATAATATATTCCCAAATAACACGTATTTTTATAATTCATGAATATAATATATATATATATATATATGTACTATACATTATACTAAACATTCACAAAAAAGAAACATGCGAAATTAACAAATTCGCAAATAAATATATTTAAAACATATAATACATATATTCAAACATATATTTCAAATTTAACATTTGTATAATATTGTATAATAATTGTATGATTTTAAATTATATATCTGAAATATGCGTACCTCTCATCAATCCGTATGGTACGGCGATTGAGGCGTAACTGGTATCAGTATTTTCCCCACATGATATATGAGCGCGTAACTTACTGCGCAAGACCACGTGCATCACTGCGCAACAGCGCAAGTAGTTGTCTGTAGAATTCAAACGAATATTGCAATATAAAATATTTATAATATAAAAATAGTTTTAATTTATGCTAAATTAAAAATGCTTAAGTACGTGAAAGTAAAAAGAATTTTTATTTTTTTATTATTTCAATATTTAGTAATTTATATTGTACTTTTAAATAAAAAGTATTTGTACTTTTATTTTCCAATGAAATATTTTTTAAGATTCTTGCAATTTGTAAATGAATATAAATTTGTCAGATATACATTAAATTTTATGCAAAAAACACCTTAAGCTTTTTAACTTTTTAAGTATAATTATTCAACATTTATAATTTAAATAATATAATAATATACTTCTATATCTGGTTACCATAGAAACAAAAGCTATACACAAATATTGAATAAACATAAAATGTGTTACTGTATTAAAAGATATATTTTTTTTTATCTTTTAATTTATTACATAAATTTTATATTAATTGTTATTGCAAGCAAAGAATTGCTTGAATTTTCTGAACCATCAAAATGTAAAAATAATGAACATTTTGATATTGTGACACTTTCTTGCATAGAATGTGATGTTAACAAAAACCTAAAGCCATCTGACGATCGTAAGTTTAAAATTATTTTTCTTAAAACATTTTAAACAAATATTTAGATCATTTTATTCGTAGGATTACGATGTATTTGTAATAAATTTAGTAAAAAAATTGGTTTCAAAGATGGTTATCCTATATGTATATCTTGTGGCATTAATGCTACAGTAACATCAGACGGAAACGATTGTATATCATGTAACAATGCAACATGCATATGTTCTTCTAATGAAATACAAGGTAATAATTAAAAAATCAAAAAATATATATTATTTAAATCAACTTATTTTAAATTATATATTTTATTAATTTTTTAATTATTTAATGGTAATGCAATTATTATAATATGTAAATTATTTGAATTTAAAAAACTTTAAATTATATTTTTAAACATTTTATTTTATAGTAGATAGAAATTTAGATGGAACATTATTAGATGCTATGTATTGTATTTCATGTGTAAATAATACTTATCCATTTTTGGCTGGATCTAAATGTTTACCCTGCACAAATTTTGAATATAATTATTATGAAAATGATACATATTTTACAAAGTATTATTATACATTGATACAGAATTACTGTTTATATAAAAATCCTTTTTTTGATAAACAAAATTCAAAAATTACATTACAAATGAAATTTAAGAATCAACATATAAATAGTTATTATTTGAGAAATGAACTTGAAAAAGTTATATATTTTTGTAAGGTAAGAAAATAAATAAGAATATAAGAATAAAAAAATAATTTTTGTATGCTTTTAGAAAGAAGATAAATTAGCATGTGAACATTTATCAAATATATGTGTTTTAAGTCTTTATGTTAATGATATTGCATGCAAATTTTTTATGAAGAAACAAAAAGCATCTATATGGTTATTTTATAATAAAAATGAAACTACAACTATATTAAATAGTAAACAAATTACACAAAATTACAGTTTTATGAAAGAAAGCAATGTATGTATATACATTTTTATAACCATTTATTAAATAAATCTAATATAGTTTATAGTGTAAATGTTATATTTTTTTAGGATAATATATTAAATTTTACAATTGTTACATTTTCTTTACATGGTAATTTGAAATTCATTGGTAAACCTAATATGCCATGCAATTTGTTGGAACATGTTAGATTTGGTATTGACTTTGAAAAAAAATGTAAACTTTCAATTAAAAATTTAATGCAAACAAAGATGGAATTTATGTATCCATATTTAACATTTACAAAAAATAACAATAATTTAATGTATGCAGTACCTATACTTATTAAAAATATTAATCAAGTAAGTAAATTAGTAATTAATTAATATTAATTAATATTTTCAAATAATATATTCATGATTGTTATTGCCAATATTTGTTTTGATTATGTAACTTGATTTTATCAAAACATATATTATGATAAATATAATATATGTGTATAGTATAAATTATTTTAGGATTATAATAAAATGTCAAATTGGCAATTAGTACGAAAATTTTTTTTTGTTGACAACATTGGTAGTTTGAAAAGATTGTCAAATTTCACAACAAATGAAATTGATGAAAAAGCCAATAAATTATATGTATTACGTTATATGAAATCACTAAATATAATGTAAGTTTTTCATTTATTTTTCATAATTTTAATTTAATTTGGATAAATTATATATATATTAATTTCAATATCTATTATAATAACTTATAATATATATATATATATATACTTTTTACAGAATTAATGTTCAAAATACAAAAGATAAAAATAAAATATTTCCACCATTATTAATTATTGAATATGCTGATTTAATATATGAACAGATTGATAAAATAGTAGAAATTACATTAGAATATAAAATTAAATTTATTGTAAAAGATAATAATATAGATTCATATTTTATGGTAAAAATACAAATAAATATAAATCTAATATATAAAATATAAAATAATATTTCTATCATTATATCATAATATATTAAAATGTTTTTAGATAATTATTGGAATTTTGTTAGTATTGGCTTTACCATTATCAGGAATAAAAACATGGAATTATATTAAACAACATCATACTTCTTCAATTAATATATTTGTAGTTATTTGGTTTTTTATTTACACTATAAGTATTATAGGAAATATAATTATTTTATGCTTAATCATTTTATGTTTATATCTATTTATGTTTTATAAAGGAAAAACAATACCATGTATTTTTTTTCCTGAAGATGTTAATGAAAAAATGATAAAAACATTTACAGTAATAGCATTTTTTTCTAAAGTAAGTATTTAAATATAAGATATTAATATAAATACAATTAATTATAGCTAACTTTTAAATATTTTAATCTCAATAATTTTTTCAGTTTATAGAAATACTTGGATTTATTTGTCAGTATTGGAATATTGATATATTTTTTATCGATTGGGAACAACCAAAGATAATAAATAATCAATGTAAACACGATCTTCCATATTTATCTATAAATGAGTTTTATATCAATAAATTTTCTAAAAATAAAAATTTTCACATGACATCAGAAATAATAACAGCCAAACGCAAAAAAATATTATATAAATTAAAGAAATATGAAAATCCTAAGAATTTTAATAAATCTTTTTCAGTTGACAAACAAAAAACTGAAAATTCAATATCAAAAATTTCTACTCAAATAATGAATAAAGATAGCAATTTTGATAATTTACCTATTAGTATTTGGAGAACATATTTCATTGCAAATAAATGGTTAAATCTTCAAACAAAAAGAAAAATAAATATTATGATACAATTACTTGCTGTTCTATGTACTTTTCAGGTAAATTTAAGCTTTATAAAAAAATAAATTAAAAAAAAATTAAACAAAATTAAATTAAAATATATTTTAAATAGATAATACAATTGTGTCCATGGATTGTTGGAATACCAGAATTAACATTTATACTTTCTGAAAACAATTATGATTTTATTTTATACTATACAATATGTACCTTAATATATATTTTAATTTATTGTATTCACTGGTTGGTATCTATTATATTTTTTGAACAATGTATTATAAACAGAATGCAAAAATTTGTAAATTTATGTTCAATTGCAAATATTAGTGTATTTATTTTACCATTTAATTATTATGGTTTCTATATTCATGGAAGGTAATATATATTAATATCAAAGTATATAAATTTAAAAAATAAAATATTGTAATTCAATATTTTTTTTTACATTTAGATCAGTGCATGGATTTGCAGATACAGATTTACCTACTTTAATTAATAATTTGCAAATGGAAAAAAATAATTTATGTGCACACAGAGGTCTTGTTCCAGGCACAACTCAACAAACATTTATATTATACTTAACAAAAACTTTCAGAATTACTTTCAACAAAAACTTAAAACTGACAAACATTGTATGTATAATATAGTTTTAATCAAAATTTTTTGGAATTATAAATTATATATATTTTTAATTCATAGAAACGACATAATTTTATAAATAATTTCTATTCTGCAACTACAAATTGGGAATATATATTTAATAATCAATTGAAAATAAAACAGTTCTTATGTAAATTTATAGATCATTGCATAAAAAATGAGGATTACATTATTAAAGAACAGCATTTCTTAGAGAAATTATTCAATATATTTTTTTACAATGAAGAGAAATCAACTTTCTATATTGGTAATGTGTTTTTAATAGAAAAAAAAAGAAAATATTTTTCATCATAATTTATACTGTACATAAATTTTGCAGATAACAATTATTCTTTTAATCAAGTATTATTATATGGAAATGAATGGTTATTTGCAACATTTGAAATTTCAATATTTACTCTCATTATTGTGTTGTATAATAATAGCACATTAGCTATTGTAGTAACAATATTAGTATCAATACTATTAACTCTAATAATGAAACAAAGTGGTAAAAAAAATATAAGCAATCATATATTATTAAATAGAATATTTTTTACATAAATAATTAATTTATTATATATATAATATAATTATATTACTAATACTATTAAAGATTTGCATTTTATATAATTTGAATTATATCAAAAATTTATTAATTTTTGTATAATGAAATAAATAAATAAAAATATATAATTTATACATAGCTTACATAAAACTATAATTTTTTTATATAATTGAAGAAGATTTATATAATTTTTTATGTATATATGTTTTTATGTAATATATTCAGATATGCATGCATTTATATGCATTTATTAATATTCATATTCTGAGAAACATTTGAAATATTCTGAGAACATTTGAAACATGAAATAAAAAAATATTTAAAAAAAAATTATTTGGTTAGAAATTAAAATATTTAAAATTTTTTAAATAATTTTTTCAATAAAAACTCAAGATCAAATATAAATAATAAAATTTTTAAATTTTTAATTTCTTATATATTCTGTGGTGGTTCTACATTTTGCACATACTAATCCTTTATAATATAAATCATTAATTAATTATTAAATATACAATAAAATCATTTCATTTAAATTATAATTTATTTTCAAATTTATAATATACAATAATAATTAAGCGATTTTATAATATTTCTCTATATTGCCAATTATTTTTTAAATAAAATTAATGATGACTATCATGATCATGATCATCATGTTTAGGATCATAACTAATTCCAAGAGATTTTTCTATACCTAGTGTTGCTACAAATGCAACAAATCCAACTAGCATACCCCTGGTAAGAGATTTAAATATTCGTAAGGTATGAGAAGAACCAGGAAGTGCTGTATAACGCCAAACTTCATTTCTTAACCAAGGATCTTTCAATCCATGTTTAGCTAGTTTTTCTTGAACCATTTTGAGCTCTGGCACATCTTCTATTTTATATATATCAGGACTTGGTATTTTTATTGAAGATGCATGACCATGACCTCCCATTTTTTTAAATGAACTGAAATTATATATTCTTATAATTAAAAATTTTAAATGTAATTATATATTATAAAAAATATCTAAAGATTATACAAGATTGTTTGTAAAAATCTTTAAAATTATAAAAATTAGTAAGATTAAATTTTAATAAATAAAATACATGCTTTCAAAATACTACGATTAAATTAATATAAACATTAAATTCTTAAAGTTAGCTAATTATAATCGAATTATATTTCAGCGATAACAATGATAAATAATATTACGTGTATATGAAGTAACTTTAATTACAAATTTATCACTACATTTTTAAATCTATTTTTTAATTTCTAAAAATTAAATCTAAAAATGCATTAAAATATGCATGTAAAAATTTATCAAATAAAAAATTATTTTAAGGTTAATTAAGGTAAATTAATTTAAGGTTCATTTTAAATATATACATACAATTTTCTAATATATAATAATATAACAAAATGAATTTAATGATATTATATAGTCAATAATTTTATTAGAAAATTTTAAAATTTAAATTTTTCAAAATATCTTCAAATACATTATTCGATTAGAATTGTTGGCTAATAAGTAAAAAGTATTTCTTTGATATATATATATATTGTAAGAAACATTATATTAATAATTATAAAATATGTAATCAATATAAAATAATTTTTTATTTAAAAATACAATATTTATTGCTATACAAATATAAACTTATGTTCTAACTTTTTTTATTTTCATTATCGTAAATTTCTTAATCTAAGCAAGCATGTATGTATGTATGTATATATGTACAATGTTATAATTCAATAATTCAAGAACACGGATATTTAAATAATAGTAATTTTTTAAATCATTAGATTAAATATAATAAAATTTCAATAATTCTTCATTTAGTTCAATGATCGTCATTATCGGCAAAAATTAAATAAGACTAGAATTTTATGTCAAATTTTATGTTTCTATATATGTGATAATATTAAATATAATCATAATATTTTTTAAATACCTAATTGTATAAATATATATACTTACTTTTTGATTAAAAAAATATTTTTATTTTATTAGTATAAAACACATTAAATTATTTAATAATTTAAGACATAATATAAACTAAAAAACTTCAACATTAAATTTAAAATACATATAAATTTTTTATGATAATCGTTAAAATAAAATAATTATGCAACTTATATAAGTTGTAAATTAATATCAAACATTAAGGTTAGTTCTACTTGTATTTTAAATTTTTTATTGTTTACTATGCACTTTTAATTTGGAATGTACATGATTTTATAAGTAAAGTTTTAAATAAATTGATATTAAGAATTTTAGAGTATGAAATATATAAAATAATCATATAACTTACTTTCTTCAACTGCTAAGTAAGTGAAAATTGTATAATCTTTCATGAATATATACGTATAACTTTGATGTATGTGTCAATTATTTTGTACCTTATATTTATAAAACCGTAAATTATATTATAAAATATATAATAGGAATATATTTTTTTTTAAATATTTCATATAAAAACTATTTAAAGATTATTTTTACAAATTTCACGAATCATTAAATTATACATTTTTTAAAAAATACGTTATAAACTAACATTTCATTATAACTTCGTAAGAATGTCGCTAGATGGATATTCATTCAATTGCATCTTTTTATACAGATGTTTGCCCATCTGTTTTCAAACGTAGTACTTCAAACTAAGCATTTCGATTGGAGAATCACGTTCAACCTCTTTATTTCCGTATCGAAAATTTTCCAAGTTGACGTTGAATAGCGATTTGATGATACACTGTACTTAATTTCATCAATACAGTGACTTGCATGAGAAATGACAATGTATGTGCTATCTACGTGATTTAAAGAAAAGAAAACGTGTTTGAACAATTATGTGACTGAATGTGAAAGAGTAGCATTAAAAAAATGTTTCATCACGAATACGAGAAACGGCTGTTGAAGTCAAACAGCGAGAGTCATATAGATAGTCTGGCAGGTTCTGGACTTCATTCATCAGTATATTTTTCGCCAACTAAGATGATGAACAATAGTTTCGATCGATTTATTCCAACACGATCGGGCAATAATTGGCAAACAACATTTTCAATGATATCAGAAAATAATCGGAATGGTATAGTTACAAAGAAGACTCGCGAAAATGGAGAAAGTAACCGTGATGGTATTGCTTATTCTTGTCTTTTAAAAAATGAACTTCTTGGAGCAAGTATAGAAGATGTAAAAGGACAATGTGAAGAAAGAAGAGTATTATCACCATTAGTTACCAGAAATCTCTTTAAATACATTACACCTACAAAAGACCACACACTATTGGATCAAAGTTCACCTTATTCTTTATCACCATTGAGTGCTAAAAGTCAGAAACTTTTAAGATCACCAAGAAAAGCAACAAGAAAGATTTCCAGAATACCTTTTAAAGTATTGGATGCTCCTGAATTGCAAGATGATTTTTATTTAAATCTTGTTGACTGGTCTTCTCAAAATGTTCTTAGTGTTGGTCTAGGTAGTTGTGTTTATTTGTGGTCTGCGTGTACCAGCCAAGTGACTAGATTATGTGATTTATCCAGTGATGGTAATAGTGTAACATCAGTTGCTTGGAATGAAAGAGGAAACCTAGTTGCAGTTGGTACACATTTGGGCTACATCCAAGTATGGGATGTAGCTGTAAGTAAACAAGTAAGCAAATTACAAGGACATAGTGCAAGAGTTGGAGCACTAGCTTGGAATGGTGAAGTTTTATCATCTGGTAGTAGAGATAGGTTAATATTACAAAGAGATGTTAGAACTCCTTGTGTTGTCAGTGAAAGACGTCTAGGAGCTCACAGGCAAGAAGTTTGTGGACTCAAATGGTCTCCAGATAATCAATATTTAGCCTCTGGTGGAAATGACAACCGTCTTTATGTATGGAACTTACATTCCCTTTCACCAATACAAACATATACTGAACATCTAGCAGCAGTTAAAGCTATTGCGTGGTCTCCACATCATCATGGTCTTTTAGCTTCTGGTGGTGGTACAGCAGATAGATGTATTAGATTTTGGAACACATTGACGGGTCAACCAATGCAATGTGTAGATACTGGTTCTCAAGTTTGTAATTTGGCTTGGAGTAAGCATAGTTCAGAACTAGTCAGTACACATGGTTATTCTCAAAACCAAATTTTGGTTTGGAAATATCCCAGTTTAACCCAAGTTGCAAAATTAACAGGACATTCATATAGAGTTTTATATTTAGCTATGTCACCAGATGGTGAAGCTATTGTAACTGGTGCTGGAGATGAAACTTTGCGTTTTTGGAATGTGTTCAGTAAAGCACGTAGTCAGAAAGAAAATAAGTCTGTATTAAATCTTTTTACTAGTATTCGATAAATTAATATAAAAAGAATAATGATTTTATGTATAATACATAATATATGCACTATTCTAGTACTTTGAAAAATTATAATGTATACAACATATATAACTAATAATTTACAAACATTTAGTTAAATATAAGAACATATTCTGAAATCTATTAAGATTAAGTTTATGCACAGCCAACTGTTCATTAATTTTTGCGTGCAATAAGTTATTATTCATAAAATTATGCCCTTATAAGGAAAAGAAAGATGATATATAGTTTTTATGAATTTTTCATACAAATGTTTTTATGTACAAACTATTCAATTTATATCTCATCAATGCAATATTTACTTTTTACATAAAATATAATCTTTATTATATACAATACTATTTACAGATTAGTCATTTGTATTTCTAATTACCAATTAGTCATTTATATTATTTGTTTATACTAACAACAAAATTCAATGACTAAATATATTTAATAATTTATTTTAATTATATAGTATCATAAAACAATGTAAAAGAATGTAATACTATGATATTGGTGTTAATTTTTAAAGTATTACATCTCATTTCTTTTAAGGGCATATTATTATACATTTATAAGACTCATTATTTATAATCTTTTTTTTTTAATTTTTGAAAAATATTTTTACAACCTTACCAAAATTAATCTT